CATTAAAAAAAAAAAAAAAAGAAAATAGAAAAAAAATGTTCTTGGAGGAAAGGTTAAAAATGGAATAAATATGTTAATTAGAATGTAAAGTTAAAAAAATATATAATCAACGATTGTTACCATGCGGAATTCCGTGCAAATCATGTTGATGCATGCGATAGACTGGAAATTCGTGTGATGCTGCCACAGGATTAACCGGAGAGATAATAATAAAAATTGGCAAGACTATTAATAAATAATATGGTAAATAGCCTCGACATAATTCAGCAAAACTATCATATTCTTCTAACCACATGATGAAATGAGTATTTTTCTTGTAATATTTGATTATAAATTTGACTTATTTCAGTCAATTTCATTTAACTATCTTTAATAGATTAACTCCATATAAAACCTACAAAATCGGTTGAAGAAACGATTACACACTTCTGAAAACTGTATTCTTTTATTTAATTAAATTTCAAAGTACAATTCAGTGTAGCCAACAGATTATCACACATGTACTAGATAATTTCAAGAATGGTCGCTAGTATCGTCGAATATGAAACACTTGAAAATTATTTTATTTTAAAATAATTATTTTCGAATATAAATGTTATTTGAATAATGTACCTTATTTTTTTTTAAATTATTATCCGAGAAGAAATATTTTAAATATTATAGATATTGATGTTGGTGCCAATCGATGTAGATCAATGATTATCAATCAATAATTAATTAATCAAATAAAAATTTAATGCATCTGGATTAATTGTTTAACTAGACGTTGATATTCTATTGTCTATAAGAAAACATTGAATATTGCAATGAAAATGAATCTAAAATGGTTAATTATATCTTTCAAACGTTTAGATGTTTATTTATAATTAATGAATATTTACCAAACATATTTATATGAATATTTTTTGTATTGATGCGTCAAAGGCTGTCTATAAAATATTTCTTATTTATTGTGGAGTTTACTCCATAAATCAAGTGAAAAATATTTTTGCTACTTGAAAAGTGAATAAGTCCAAATTATCCGTATATTGTGCCTATAGAAGACTTGAATTAATTAATTATTTATTTATTCTTTAAATTATATATATAATATTAAAAGCTCAATAAAAAATGAAAAGACAAATGTTAGACAAAATGATAAAAATCTATGAAATAATATAGTTCCAAATTAAATTGCTATTTTTAATATTATTCTAAACCTAATTCTAATCATGGTATAGAAACAGCAGCGATTATGTGTACTGTACCATTTCACTTAAAATAGACTCTTTTATTAATGATAGATTAATGAAATGTATACTACATTTACTACATTTATAAATGATCTATTTAAAGCCACATAAAATTTGCATATATCCCTAATATATTTCTTATAATTCTATTTTATTCTGTTATTACTTATTAGTTTTTATAATTTACATAATTTTTATAGAACAGTTACATTATTTGAGTTTTTTAATGTTTATTTTCTGTTTTAACGTTTAGTTTATATATATGTCTGGCGTCCCGCACCTGCTCGGTGCAGTGACGTACCTAAAAACTACTAGAGGTGCGCGTGTCCAGCAGCGACACCGTCTGCCTCGGCTATGTAACTAGACCATGCTGCGGAGGCGGCCGATTGGTCAGAATTCGCGGCGTATATATATATATTCTCTTTCTTAAAATTATCACATCAAAATACGATATGTACATGTACTTATTAATTTTTAAAAATAAATTAATAAAAAAAACTTTAATATACAAAATTAAAAATGATAATAATAAATTCCTTTCTTCTTCTTTTTTACTTTAAATTTATTCTACTTCAATTCCTAGCAAATGTACGCCATTTTAAACAATAATACCAATCTACCTTTAGTCTAATTTTTTATTACTAAAGTAAAATATTTTTTTCTTACTATTAATATATAAAAAGCAATAAGTTTTAAATATAAATATATTATATATTATACGAAAGACATTTATATACTTTAATTTTTATCGAGAATTTACTTTTTAAATAATGCAGCAATATTTATGCACGTGAGCCAATAAAAAAGTTTCATTTAACTATTCTTTTTGCCATTGGATGCAATTCTTGCATATTACCACGTATTAGGTGTATTAGTTTTCTTATTGGTTTAAGAACAATCCCATAGAATTGGACTAATCTAAAGTTATTTTTTAATCAAAAATGAGTATTCATAAAATTTTAAAAATGAAGAGTCACAGTAGAAGAATTATTAACTAAGTGTAAGTATAAGGTTAACCGTATAAGGTGTTATTTTTGATAGAAACTATGTATAGGTTTATTTTAGATTTATTTCGATATATCTTTTAGTAGACCGATGTCGCCCTAAACTTTCACTTAAATGAAGGAATGTTGCTTCATCGGTTTGTTGATTTAAAATTTCTGTAAAAAGTATCATGGCCTCTAAGACCCATGTGGATAGCACGGTTAACGAACGTCGCTTGCGACCTATTTATGGTAAATACAATTTTGTAACATAAAGTAACACTCTATGCCGAACATTAATATATTTTTAAAAAGAAACATTTTTTCTTTAGACCGGCAGAGAGGTTATGTAATAACCGACAAAATGATACACGATCACTCCTTATATTTCAGATTCTTTAGACAATGGAAATAATAAGCAAGCACTTCAAGAGGCGGACAAAGTACTTAGAAAACAGCCCGGCAATCAATGCGCTAGAGTACTCAAAGCACTGGCCTTACTTCGTCTTGGCAAGGAAAATGAATGTCATGCTATAATGGATAAAGTTCGTTCTGAAATACCATGTGAAGATTCAACATTACAAGCAATGAGTATTTGTTATAGAGAAGTCAATCAACGTAAGCTATTAAAAGAAAGAATTTATATTATAGAGTAGTAAATGATGAATTTTCCTACTTATTTATTTATTTAATAATATTATAAACTTAATAGTATATAATATTTATTTGATTTTTATAATTGATTATTATAATTCATTTAATTATCCTAATGTTTACAGCTAATAAAGTTAGTGAAGTATACGAAGCAGCAGCAAAGGCGGATCCGAATAATGAAGAACTTCTTACACATCTTTTTATGTCTTACGTTCGTTTGGGTGATTATAAAAAACAGCAACAAACTGCACTTGCATTGTACAGATTAAAACCAAAAAATCCTTATTATTTTTGGGCTGTTATGAGTATAGTTATGCAGGCCATAAACGCAGAGGAAAAGTTAGCTAATAATGTCATATTGCCTTTAGCCGAACGAATGGTTTGTAAACGTAAAATACTTTTTTTCTAATGATTGATTTTATTGATTATTATTATTATTAATATTATTATCTCATTCATAATCTTGACATATTGTGTTGTATAAATAGGTATTGAAGTTTGTTAACGAAGGAAAAATAGAAGCTGAGCAAGAAGTACAGCTTTATTTAATGATATTAGAACTTCAGGGTAAGAGCGAAGCAATGTTGGAAGTCCTATCTGGACCTTTAGCTTCTCATTTATCACATGTTCCCCAACAAAAAGCAGCACTATTGATGAAATTAGAACAATTCCGTGAAGCTGCGGATACATATAAACTTCTTATTAAACAAAAGTAAGTATCACTCTATATTTTTGTTATTACTAGATTTGTTATTATTTATATAATAAAGTATTAATATATAATAAATTTACGTAAAATAAGTTAAATATAAAAATATAGTTCTGTTTCCTTCTCTAATTTAGTTGTAGTTCTTTCTAAAATTGTGTAAATGCAACTATTTTTGTAAATAGTACCGACAACTGGCAATACTATCAAGATTATCTTTCTGCGGCTTTAAAATTTCAAGAACCATCCGAATGCTTAGATTTTCTTAATGAAATCATTTCATCATCAGAACGCAAAGTGAGAGGACCATATCTAGCAAGATTTGAATTATTAAAACGTATTGGAGAAAATGATAATAATAATTTAATGGATTGCGTTGATTTCATGTGCCAATATTTTGAAAATTTTGGTGAGAAGAGCTGTATAGCTGGAGATTTACGATTATATTTACATTTATTAACACCTGCTGGCAAAGAACAATTACTTAATAAGGTAAATTTATTATTAATATTTATATTCTATTTAACGCGCGAATTAATGTATTTTACATAGCAAATAAATTTAATTTTTTAGATAGCTGAAGATGTTGGAGTTGCAACAGACGGATTTCCAAGTACTGTTGAACAAATGCAACGACATATGCATTTAGAACAGTTGCGACGTATGTGCGGCTTTCATCATTCTCCTCTAGCCGATATTAATGACAGAAAAAATTTAATAAGAAGATTATGTGATCTTTATGAAAAGGGGTGTGAATTATGTCCTATGTCAGATAGATTACCAACTGACTTTTGTCCAGCTGATTCTTATGTACTTTTGGCTACTTATTTATTGCATCAATTATGGTGTGAAACTAATGAAGCCTCTTTCCTTTATGGGTAATGTAATAATTATTATTAGCAATAGTTCGACATACACTAATCATAAATAAATGAAACTTCTGTATGTTGGGTAATATGCAAATAGTTTGAAATATGATTGATTTATTTTTCAGGGCAATGAGCATACTCGAACGTGGCCTTTTTTCAAGTCCTGCAAATTTTCATATTAAAATATTACTGGTGCGCACATATTTAGAAGCTGGTTTAGTTGGTTCTGCTGATAATGCTTTCGCATTACTTGATATAAAGCATATTCAGTTGGATTCATTGGGTTATCTGCATGTACCTCTTCTTGCACCGTTTGGACATTTATCATTAGCTTCAACAACACTTGATCATTCAACGAAATTCTTCATTGCTAATTATAAAGATGTATGTATTATAAAAAATAATATAATTATTATTTTCATTTTTCATGCATTAATAGTGAAATATAGTATAACTTATTTAAAATGTGTTAATAAAAAGATTACTCATACTTCTTGTTTTTATTGTAGAGTGCAGATTATTTGACCTTTGCATATAAATATGGAAGTTTTACTAAAATTCAAGAATTTATGGAATTGAGAGAACATTTGGAAAATTCAGTGCATTTTGCTGTTACAACCATTGATAAAATGTTATTGGATTTAAGTTGTTGTGACAATTTTAAGTCTTTCTTTTCTGCTCTGGCTAGTATGCATATACAACCACATGAAGACAGAATTAGATGGGATCAATTACGGGATAATCGTGATTTGGAAGTATGTATCATATAATTATATATATATTTATGTACTGTATTGAAAACGTTCGCTCTTTTCATCTTTATAAACTCTTTTTGTGTGTGTCTATTAAAATAGGTTGTACGTGAATGGGAACCGTTATCTCCAAATGGCGAAGATCCAAGAAGACGAGAAGACACTTGTATATGCATGTTAAGACTACTTGCAGCACGAAATTTAATTTTACGGATTTTAGCAGCAACTGCTGAGCCAAATCCTTCGCTCATCTTTTGTCTTTCAACAGAT